AAAGATTGGTGCTCTAATTTCGTAAGACATCCTCAAAGATAAACTAAATAAGAATTTTTAGAATGAAAACAATTTTTTTTTAGATTCGTTGTGGTTTTTTTTTATCAGTATAATGACGATGATAGGATTCGAGGTTCATGATGCATATTTAACGCCACATCGTGAAGAAATTTAACAATTAGATTTTTTCTGGAATAAATTTGTTCATTCTGTATGCTGCCTAAGTTTTATTTCCCAACTTGCAATCGGTTTATTAATCCGGAAGACAAAATTTTGAAAAGTTAATATTTTTTGTTTTGTATATATTTTCTATAGTCTGGGAAATAAAGGGGGCTATAAAAGTTCTAACAGTTAATTATGCGGTGCATAATTAACTGTTAGAACTTTGCTGTTAGAACTGTTTGAAACGCAATAAACCATTTAATATTTTGTTGATAGAGAGCTAAAAAATCTTTAAATTGAAAAGAAAAACAACAATTCTTTGATAAATCAAACGAGAAAAATTAGAAGAATTTTTTAAAAAAGCCTAAAATGGATTTATTAATTATTTTAATTAACTAATTAAACGTTGATGATTGATTTTTTCATTTGATTGCTACTGATTGTTATACATTATTTTACATTAATAATAATTCATTAATTGTAAATCATTATTAATATTACTTAATTAATGTATTAGGTTGAAATATTAAAATCCCTCTTGCTTCCTATTGAGTTTGAAGAAGATCGGCAACCTAATCATATTTTATAGTTTAAATCATTTTTTAAATGTTTTTTTTTTAAAATCAAAAACAATTAATGGATTCAAAACATTTCTCTCAAAAATTCATTTTGAAAGTGTGTTTGGTAAAATAAACATATTAATTCAATAAATAAATGCGATATTCAATCATTATTCTGAATGTACAGTGCGCAAGAAAAAAAAAAAAAAAAAAAACGGACTTCCCTGAATAACTTCTGAACCAATGATCGGATCATCCCGTTCTAGGACTCCATCTTAATCTTCCTAATCTTCCATCTCAAATGTGCTAATTAATAAGTGCAGACGATATTTTAAGTTACGCAATCAGATTGTACATTATTGTAAATAAATTTACTAAAAAACTTCTTTGTTAATTTACATAATTTTTGCCATGTGCAAATCCTTTTCGGCAAATCCATGGCTAAAATTATGTGTAAAACAGGCAATTCATGCTTATTTCTCTTTCCTATTTTATTTTATTTCTTTCTTAAATTTTCTAAGTAAATTTTCTTTTAAGAAAATTTCTTTTTAAGTAAATTTTCTAAAATTATTAATTGTCAACTTCTTTAAATTATCCAGTATAATATTACCTTGCGCACATCCATTTTCGGGCCCATCCTTGGTAACTAACAAATCAAACGCACTTCAGTACTGCAATAAAAACGCACAATAAAACAAAAACCTTTTATTTACGCTTTTATCTTAATTTGCGCTTCTGTTTTCATACTTTGTAATCTGGCAATCTTGTTACGAAAATATTTTAAATCATTCTTGAAAAATTTCATTAATTTCATGTAAGTTCATTTGAATTCGCTACTAGCTTTATGCTAACTAAATTTTTTCATTATGGTACCACAGAATTCTGTTATAATTAAAAATAAATAAATTCCAATCATCTAAACGAAGTATATTTACAGGAGAGGCTATTGTGTGGCATTGAGGTAGTGTAAGTCGCGAGGTTATCCAAAAATAAATAACGATGTCCTTTAGGGGGAGGAGGAATTATATGTATCTGTAATAATATCGTCTGAAAAGCGCAATCTTGCTCAGGGGACAGAGCGCTCGCCTTCCAATGAGGTGAACTATGTTCCGCACTCGGCTCGCACCGACCACCTGGCATAAAATATCCTCACTGATGGACGGATCATGGGTTAGAGTCCCTTTGCCGTCAGTGGAAAGTTTTCGTCGTTTTCCTCTCCTTGTAACGCAAATGTGGGTAAGTTCCATCCAAAAGCCCTACCCAAAGACAAATTTTTCCCAATGCTTGATCCAGGAGTTCCCTTGTCTTCTGAGTTGGGCTCAAAATTACGAGGCTACGGAGTTGAACATTAGAAGCCGTAAACCCAGAATTTAGATCGGCTTTTCAACGACGGTTATAAAATAAAATAAAATCTTGCAAAACCATTGGTAAAAAAAGGAAAAAAGGAATAACGGTACCATATTGAAGGATGGAAAGTTGTATAGATGATAAATAAATTTCATTAGCGAATTGTAAACATATAAATTAATGAAAGACTATTAATTATTGGGAAAAAATGTCAGGATCTAAATTTTATTAATTATTTTTAAAATCTTTAGTGAAAGAAGGCAGAATGAAATTTTTTTCATCATATCGTTTTATCAACGTTAGTCTTTAAATTCTTTTTTTTTTTTNTTTTTTTTTTTTTTTTTTTTTTTTTTTGGTCAGACATTTGAATTTACATGTCTGGTGTGCTGTCTAGTCTATCTCTTATTTCGATTATTAGTTCATACATAAACTGAAAATGAAAGAACTGAAACGTGGTTTCCATTAAAATAAAAACGAAAAAGAAGGAAAATGAACATTGGAAATGGTTATCAGAGAAATATACTTCTTCATTGTTGAATAAAAAAATTTTTTTTTGATACTAAAATTGTACTAAAAGTTTTCTTTAATTGCACGCATAGATTCTCTTCGCGTAGTACAGTCATTTTATTTTAATTAAAAATAAAATTGATTTGAAATTTCTTTCTTTACAAGCATTTAAAATTAATTTCATAAAAATAACGAAAATGACAAATAGATTATTAATTGAATATAAATTTAATTACATGTTTTCCTAAATCCTAATCTCGGAATTCCTAAAAATTTCCTATACCGTTTTGACCCTTCGATGGAACACTAGGGTTCCGTGGAATAAATACCATTCGGAAACCGCTGCAATATAGGTTAACGATATTATTTGAAAGAGGGATTACCTTAATGATATAGCCGGGAAGGGAACGATAGCATCTGAAAAGAAAGGGTATAAGTTCGGAAACAGCAAAATTACTCCTCCCCCATTAATAAAAAAAAAAAAGAAGAAGAAAATCATACGTAAAATTTATAAATGTGCATACTGCTTAGGAAGATTATGGCTTTTTTTTTTTTTAACTGTATCACCTTAATACCACAAAAATGCGGTAGGTGACTCTTCAGTCTTTGAATCTCCTTTATACTTGTATAATTGGGCATCTTATCTCCTTCCATCTTTTTTAGTCTCTGCGACAGTAAATTACCTGATCGGAGATAGCTTCTCGCTGAAACACCACTACCTGTTCAGCAAAATGCTCTAACTTCGTTCCATTGAAGATTTTTTTTTTTTTTAAATAAATAAATAAAAAGAAATTCCAATAAAAGGCTGATCTTTTTATTTCAGATGAACTCAACTTTGATTTCATATCTTTCATTTTATTGATTTCTTAAAACGATTTATACTTTGTGGAATGATAAAAGAAAACAAACATTGTGTTTCTGAGAATGGCAATGATATACAGGTGATGCAACGCAGACGATAATGGGAATTACCGATTTTTATTTATGTTTCGCCTTTCAGTGCGGTCATGAAACTTTTGCAGGAAGTGGATTTTCATGTAAAACCTTAGATAAAATAGAGCGCTTTTTTAAGTTGCCCATAGAAAGATTTGATAAACTGTAGCAATAAAGATACGCTGTTCAAGTGATCTCGAACGTGACGCTGACATATTTTTTCCCCTTTAAAATTCCCTTTTATTTATTTATTTTTTTATATAAATATTCCCGGAGTTTTTAACTTCCTACGAATGTAACAAATTAATACAAATGGGAAACAACAGTTAGTATTTAAGTTAATCTACCAGGAGAAAGTAGATAAAATAGGTTTCAAAAAATAAGAGATTTGAATCAAAACGAGGATTTAACGAGAATTTGCATTCAATTCTTATAATTACTGCAAACATTTATAAAAGGAATTAAAGATGTAACTCCATAAATTAAAATTTTTTCTAAAAACTTAACTTCATTTAATTTTTTCGTTCTATTTTTATGCAATAAATCATAAATTAAAATTTCTATTCTTATATGATAAACTGCAAAAGTATTTTTTTTTTAATAAAAAGGCTTTTTATTTTTGCAAATTTTATAAGCTCTTTTCAAAAATAAATTTTTTTAATTCAATTGTTTATTAATGTAATTAAAAAAATAAAATGTTAAAAGTAAATTTTATTTTATATCAATTTGTTCTATAATTCAAAACTCTTAAGATCAGGTAAGACAAGCGAATGTTAAATACAAGAACAGAGTCGATTTCTTTATTACATTTTTAAATAAATTGCATTATAAAATAGCAAAACCATGAAATTCAACTATGCTGATAATAAAAATAATAAATTAATTAATAAAATAAAAGTTTGATTTAACTCAAATGAAACTTAATCCCATAAATTAAGATGACTTTATATTCGATTCTAAGCAAATCCTGCCCATATTTTTCTTAAAATTAAACACATTCTATTAGGTTAAGAGTTCTGTGACCTTACAAAATAAGAACTAAAATAGGATTTAGAATCAACACTATAAATGATTAAAAGTTAAACTTAAATAAAAATAAATAAATAGATAAATAAATCCTACCTTATAACACTTACACATCCAAAAATTATTATTTTGAAAAATAGAACATTCTAAAAGCATTTTAAATTTATCGAATCAAACAATAAAATAAATACAATGGAAGCGCGGCCGATTTCTCATTTTCACTATCTGAGCATGAATTAAAACAAGTAATTATCGTTTGGTTATCAATTCCGTTATATTTCTTTTTCGTTTGCTAGATACTACGCAAGCATGCTAATATCAGTTTAGCAAATTAAGTTTATGTAATAATTTTTTTTAAAGTCATGGGACCTCTGTATAAAAACAAAGTGCGGTTTATAATAATACGACGCTTCACAAAAAAGTTTAATTTTATTTACTCTTATAACCAACCATATCATTTTTCAGGTGAGTTAGAAGAAGAATCAAAGCATACAGATCTCGGAGATCACTTTCCAGCCAATCACATCTATTTAAGAAAATTCGGAAGTGAGACATTGGTTTTGGCAAAGCGGCATTTATCAGCCGGCACCGTACTCGGTACCTTCAGAGGAATTCTGAAGGAACAACCTGACTACAATAAAACCATTCTAAAGGTACGATTCTGAATTTATTTATGGGTTACAAAATATTATAATTATGAGTAGTAATAAATCATTTGCTTATGTAATGAATAATTTAAAGTTAATTAATAACCTATTTCATAATTTAAAATATAAGTTTTAAACATAAGTATTGTAAGATATTATTGTTATTTATTCTCTATGTTAATTCTAAGTTTTCCTATGCGCTCTCTTTTGTAACTGATAAAAATGCTATTAAAAAAAATTATGAAAAATACATAAAGTTTTGGACAAAATTTTTCTTTTTAATATAACTATCTAAATTTAAGAAAAAAAAATATTAATTTATAATATTCTTCATTAGGCTTACGAGAGCTAAATAAAGCGCTGACGCGTCATTGCAGTGTGGGCCAATTTGCAGGAAATGAAAGTAAAAATAAGTTGTAATGTTTACCGATTTCCGCTAGTAATTTTAATAACAATAAAATGTAGTTTTAGCACTAACACAAAATATGATATTTTATTAAAATATTTCTTTAATGCAGTTAATATTTGATTGGGAGATTTTTTTCTTTAAAATCGATTAAATAATCAGGACAATGATTTTTATTTATTTACTTAGTAATCTCTTGTAGCACGTTTTGCAGATTTCAATATAATAAAAAAACAAACATAAAAAATAGAAATAAATTTTGTGGCTGAAGTATGAAAAAAAAAAAAAAATCGAAAAAGCGAGGGGTTGTTGATTTTGCTGGTGACTGGCTCTCTTTAAAATAATTTATAAACAACATTTAAGTAGAAAAAAAAATGCATCGAATTCACAATTTATTTCAAAAGTTTCATTTTGGCTTTTAAAATAAAAATGAATCACAATTAATTTACCTATCCTATAATTTCATACTTATATTGAAATAAAGACGTGACAATTTTCGGAAAAATGGAATATCCAAAACATTCCTTTAGGTATGGATAAAGATATGAATTAAAATAGGAAAAAAATGTTTGTGTACAGTATTTAAACTTTTGTCTGAATTTAATTTCATATTTGACATAAAAGAGAATTTTCCAAAAGTGCTTGGTGCTGCCATCTCTATTATTAACCGCTCAACTAATGAAATTTTACAGGTTAGCCGCTGCAACGGTGGTTCTCCAGTGCACGTGATGCTTGAAAATGAAGGTCATTGGTTAAAACTGATGAGAAACGCAATTGTACCAACTGATGCCAATATTTGCCTTCGAATTTCAGGTAATTTTAAAATGGAAAATGTATTTGTTCTGTTTAATTACTTGTTCTTCAATTTTTAAAAAAAATTCTATTTGTATTAGTCTTTGTATGCTTCCGTAACGTGGAAACACAGGACCGGATTAAGAGAAGGGGGGGGGGACTAATGTCTTCCAAATTTAGGGCTATATTATAAGTGAGGGGCCTATGAAACTCTTATGGAAGTAAAATTAATTTTTGTAATTTAATATTATAAACAATTTAGAAATTCTCTAATCATAATACTTTGCAACCTTTCCTTAGAATAATCGAAAATGTATTCTACATTTTAAGTTTTAATTTCCGAAAAATGATGTTTGATAACATTGTTATCGACAAAAATCTAACATGTTAAGATAATATTAAGACAAAAAACAAATAGAAAATTTCTAATTTTTTCCTTTTGATTTTTAATTATATTATATTTCATACTTAACATTTATGGTTTCACTTAGTATTTTTTGCTGTCAAAGTAGTTTAACAGTATTATAATATTTAATGCTTTTGCTATTATTTTTTAAAAAAATATTAACTTTCCAATTTTTTGAAAAACACGTTAAACTGAAATTAACTTTAATAAAAAGTTTCGATATTATTGAATGCATGGTCAATTTTAGCCGATTCAGTATAGGTAGGGTTATACATATGATCGTATATTATAAGTAGGTTAAAGGTAGGGTTTTTCTGTCATACCCTAATGTGACGCTGCTGTTAACTTTTAAATCTATAGACTATTTAATTCTATAGATTTTTCTATATTGAAATAAAGACAGAACAATTGAATAGAAATCTATTTTAAAATTATTTCCATTTTATATCGCATTAAATCGACATATACGATTGATAATTTTTGTAATCGGAAATGAAAAATATCTCTCCTTTGTGAAAGGACTAAATTTTCTTTTTCATTTAAGTTATTGCTTTTTTTATGTGTCATGTCTTGCAAAGCAATAAAAAAAATTTTTTAGTCAACAAGTAATATCGAATATAAGGATTATTAAAATCCTTCTAAAAGAAACGAATCGATAAAGCGAACAGATATTATGAATTTAGAATTTTATCGGAATAATGCATTTTTTTTTCTGTAAATTTATTACCAGTGTTGTTTTTTCGGACCTTTTATCTTTGACTATACAATCAGAAAAACATTTATCAATTAGACATTAATTATGTAATACAAACGTGGTTGTTACTTAAAAGTTTAATTTGTTTAATAATGATTTCATTTCATTTATTTGTTTATTACCCTAAAAAAGTTATCGGTCCTCAACCGAACTGCATCTATGCGAGATAATTTCAGTTACAAATTGACATGCGTGAAAAATTAAAATGTTTTGATGTCATTGATTGGAAATGTTATCGGAAAATGAAATGAAATCCGGTTTCCATTTTAGTTTCAATTTCACATTGAAAAGGCGAAACTATGATTTATTTCCATAAGATTTAAAGAGATGAATGTCTGTTACCAATTAACACGTTTATACACGCTCTCGCATGAATGAAGCAATGATAAAGTCGCACCCCTCTATAGTGAACCGTCTGCGGAGCCAGCAATAGGTTCACTATATTTAAAATCTGCGAAACAAAATATATTATTGAGCGTATTGATGAAAACAACGATTGCAACAGGAACATAATTTGCTTAAAAAATATCACTAAAAACATTCTTCGTATGACGAAGTAAATGCTCTGTAAGAATTTTTTAGATGTTTTTCTTTGCAATTTTCGCCATTTTTTTTATTTCTGTCATCAAGGAAGATACAGTGAAACTTCTCCTAAAGGCCACCTCTACTTAAGGGCCACCTCTATTAAGGGCCAATATTTTGAGGAACGAAAATTTTCCCCATAGACATAATGTTAATTTTCCTCCCATTAGAGGGCCACATTTTCCTGACTACCTCCAATAAAGGCCATTTTT